CCCGACGCAGCTACCTGACCAAAGGCAGGGATAGGGGTAGTCGCAGTGGTCAGTGTGTACAGGCTCGACCCCGGCCGAAGTGTAAACGTGGCCAAGTGTCGGCCCGTCCGAGCGTCCGTGCAGTGGGTCACCCACTGGCTCGCAGGAGTGAACTCGTGAACTCCCGCATCCTGTAGGTCAGCACCACTCACCAAGTTCGTAGAGAACAAGGGGAGGTAAAGACCAGACAGGGTGCCAGAGGGAGCCGCCGGACACGGGAGGACAGTGGAGAAGTGAGCCAGGACAGGACCCCCAGAGGGGTCTACCAGAAAGACCGCAACTGGCCGACCAAGCGGCGTGAGTGTGATGCGGTCTCGAAAGAAGGAGCGAGAAGCCCTCGAGTCAAGGGTGAAGGTGAGGGAGGCCGAAGCCGACGCGGTACCTGAGAGCGCAGACTCACCAGCACCTGAGAAAGTAGACGCATTGGCACCTAGAGCAGCAGCCTCGCTAGCACCTAGAGCAGCAGCCTCACCAGTACCTAGAGCAGCAGTCTCAATGCCCGGGTCGGGCGGAAAACACCGGTAACAGTCACCCTCATCACTACTAGTCACAGCATACATGGCAGCAAGAATAGCATCAAAGTCAAGGTCAAAGATAGCTACTCCCGCCCTAGACAGCTCACCCCAGCGGGGGGATCTCAGTGGCTTCAGGGAACTGGTGACGCCAAGCGTCCGTCAGGCGGCCAAAGCAACGCTGGGTGGAGTGCGCACCCCCACACTGCTCACCCGCGCAGTCGCCGGTGCATAGAACGTAGGTGCACGGACCAGTACCCCCACCCCGCTGGCGTGCAGCGTACCACTCACGGAGCTACTGAGGGGGGGGGATGTCACGAGTGCGCTGCTGCTGCTGCTGCTGCTGGCGCTCACCACCACCGAAGTTGACCCTCTGCGCAGCGCCACCCCGACCAGCTCCACCTCCTTCGCCACCGCCTCCTCCACCGCCGCCACCTCCGCCACCTCCGCTCCCACCGCCACCGCCGCCGCCGCCTCCGCCTCCACTGCCGCCACCGACACCTCCACCCCCGCCACCACCCCAACCGCCACCCCCACTCCCTCCGCCGCCTCCACCGCCGCCTCCACCGCCCCCGCTAGCTCCTCCAGTACCCCTGCCCCCCTTGCCCTTGCCAGGGCGGCGCTTCCCGCTAGGGATAGACGCCGCACCGACCGGCTCCAGACCAACGAGGTCGGCCACAGCAACAGAGGCAACAGAGGGCAAAAGAGGGGAGGGGGAACGCCCCTCAAAGATGGGGGTGTGAGGGTCACCACGAGAGGCTCCTACAGTGACTATGCTCTTCTCTACTGCTAGGAGGGCCTTTTCGAGGAGGTCAACGGTGAGAGTGGTCAGGCAAACTGAGAGGAAGTGGTCCCTGACTACACGAAGGGAGTCAGGGAGACGGGTGACTATGTAGTAGAGGGTGATGTACATGGGGGGGGGGTTCTTGGCGCAGAACTCAGCAGGAAGCGCAGCGCGGTAGTGTCACTTCTGTGGAGGTACGTAATGAGGTCAGCGACTGTGGGAAAGGCAGTAAGGTCAGGGAAGAGGTACGGTAGCATGAGGCGGCTCAGTGCAGCAGTGGCAGGGGAGGAGTAGCGTGCAACTACATCGTCGTACAAGGTTTGAGCACTCTTGAACTGACTAAAGTGCGCACGCTCAGAGGTAGGCAGGTTGCGACGCACAGCAAGACGTGCAGCAGCATCGGGTGTGGCCCACTGTGAGCGAACAGTGGCGTCAGCATCAGCACCGGGGGCAGGAGAGGCAACAGAAGTGAGGTCAAAGAGGGAGAGACCGTCTGCCCTATCGCACTATAAGAAAAGCTGCAGGTCATCTATCCAGACGTCAAAGTCAATGGCCCTACCCTCAGCGTCAAAAGCGAGGACACTAGGGGTAGTCATGACAGTAGTAGACTAGCAATGCGAACAGTAGGGTAAGGGCAATGCAATGACAGAAGCGCTGCTCTTACCAGACAGGGCGGCTCGGCGGTGCGGGCGGCTCGGCTGCAGGTCGGCTCGGCGGCTCCGCGGCTCGGTTGCTCGGCTGCTGGGCGGCTCGGCGGCTCGGCGGCTCGGGTGCTCTGCTGCTGGGCGGCTCGGCAGCTCGGCAGCTCGGCTGCTCAGCGGCTCGGCGGCTCGGCTGCTCGGCTGCTGGGCGGCTCGGCGGCTCGGCTGCTTGGCGGCTCGGCGGCTCGGCTGCTAGGCGGCTCGGCGGCGGCAGCTCCTGCCTTAGGGGCAACGGCGGCTGGCCGCTAAGGGCCGCGAAGGGCGGCGGAGGGGCCGTAAGGAGGCCGCGGATGGCGGCTCGAGGGGCCGCGAAGGGCGGCGGAGGGGCCGTGAGGAGGCCGCAGAAGGCGGCGCGAGAGGCCACGAAGGGCGGCGGGGCCAGGTGAGGCGGCGTCGGGGCCGGGAAGGGCGGCGTCGTGGCCGGGAAGGGCGGCGCCGGGGCCGCAGGAGTAGGCGACGGGGCAGCTAGGGCGGCGCCGGGGCCGCACGAGTAGGCGGCGGGGCCGCTAGGGCGATGCAAGGGTCCGTAAGGGCGGCGAGAGGGGCCGCAAGGGCGGCGCACGGTGGGCCGACGGGCGGGTCGAAGGGCCGCAAGGGCGGCGCGCGGAGCCGACGGGCGGCGCAAGGGGCCGCTAGGGCGGTGCGCGCGGTCGACGGGCGACGCGAGGGGCCGACGGGCGGTGCGAGGGGCCGGAAGGGCGGTGCGCGGGGCCGTAAAGGGCGGTGCGCGGGGTTGTGAGGGCGGTGCACGGGGCCGTAAGAGCGGCTCAAGGGGCCGTGAGAGGGGCCGCTAAGGGCGGCGCGACGGTAGGGAGGGCACGTGGGGCGCGCGCGACTCGGTCTAGGGCGAAGCGCTCCCCGGGCAGGGAAAAAAAAAAAAAATCGTGGTGGGCCCTAAGTAGCGTTCCCACTAGGGAACCTGCTCGATACCATGATAAGAAACGAGAATGAATCAACTATGAAATAGTTGGGTACAAGTACTAACCGTAATTGGGTTGCACCCCTTATGGGCTACCCCACTATAGCCTACACAAAATGCATAAGCTATGATGTTCTGATACGGCATCCCTTCCTCGATCGTCGGCGACAAGGACCCGGAGGTTATATCGAAGTTCCGGAAGGAGACGTGGGCGCAGTACGGAACAAGACTACAGTTCTCATCGGTCTACCACCCGCAAACTGACGGGCAGACCGAGCGGACCAATCATGGAGCAGCTCATTTGCACGAACTGCCCCCACTCTGCTTGATGGGAAGTTTTACCCTCGAACCTGGAATCCGCGTACAACAATGCCTCATCCAGCATGTCCAATCACTCCCCTTTCTTCCTAAATTACGGGATGGACCTAACGGTACCTACGGCTACAACCCCTGAGAGCCAGGTACCACGATCGCAACACTTTGTGGCAGAATTTCAAGCCATCTGCGAAAAAATTTGTCGTCCATCTGCAAAGCAAATGCAACTGCCTGAAAATGCTCTTATCTTCTTTGTCGGGAAATCACCATGGTGGTAGGGCAACTAGTCCTACTTGACACCAAAAACCTTCGCCTACCTGGCTTGTCAAAGTTTCGCTAGCGCTTGTGCGGTCCTTTCCGCATTGTGAGAATGATCACATCTTTGACGGTGAAACTTCAACGGCCCAACGATTGGCGCATATACAACGTATTCAACGCCAGCCTACTTAAGCTTTTCGTGCCAGCAACGATGTAAATTGTCTGCCAAAACGCCGCCACGACGGCTAGTTCTGTTATGGAACCGACACTGCACTGTCGAAAATTCTGGCGCATCGTGTTCACCTTGATGTCTCTTGACGCCACATGGATCGATACGTTGATCTGACCGTACATGTGATGATGACACTTGGGTGTCATCCGTTTTACTTTAAACACCTCTGCTACTCAGATATTATCTCGTCCGGAAGCGTGCAGCGAATTTTGAGCACTTTTCTTAAAACCCTTTTTCTTGCTGGGTCTTACTCTTTCATGTACAACATCGACTTTCGGAAATGCACGTTCGGCTGGTTTGCTTGCTGTCGAAGCATCATTGCGTCGCTTCGGCTTTCTTTTGCCCAACCTGCACCCAATCTCGTGTTCCTGAGGTTCCCGTGTATCTAGGTTGAACCGCCATATAATCGCGAGCCTTTAGTTGTACCGTCAGTTCATTCAATCACAAGCTTCGCTATTCGTTTTTTTCGCGCAACTCTGTTTTACAACTCATAACATAGATATTTTTTTAGGAGCTTCTACGGCAAATGAAACATCTAATATCATCGCGATAACCCAACAACTGCAACTTTAAGGCGGGTCCAAAGAGGACGTCTGAATGGGACTGAATAAGGTTTGGAATCTATCCTAGAGCGGTCTAATTAGAAATCCAGATGGTTGGGTAGGGTTGTCCACGAATACATACATTGTTGGAGCTGCCCTTAGTGGTACTGTAGGGCTTCAAGTCAAGTCCTTAGCTCAGCCCATCGTCACGTTTGGTCCACGTGGCATTTGATAAATGCACTTGGCCAAAACCCGCACCCGTGATTGGTCCGTATCACACTCTCCATTGCCCACTGCCACTGACTCTCCCGCTCTCCTTTCCTCGTCACCACGGACTGCATTTCTTGGGACCACCCATTAGCGAGTTCGCTATATGATTGAAGTCACTTGCCAATGAGTTCCCTATGTTCTCGAATGTTGAGATCACAGATCTGCTCTCAAACGCCTGCCAAGTTTCCAAGTGAAGGGCATCCCGCAGCGCCTCAAGTTATGATGCTGCGAGAAGTTCGAGAAAACCGGCTAGTAGCAACAGCTACTACAAGCCTCAACGAGTGAGCGTTTCCCGCCGGCTACCGCCGTGGGAACTCTCGCCGCGTGCACGAGTGCAGGAAAGCTGACAGTGTACCAGTGGCGAATGACCTACTAGTCTTGCTGTGAGTGATGCGCGAGTGTCGCGGGAATCAAGCCGGGTTTCATTTATGGCTTCTATATCCCCAGCGAGACTCGGCGCTACTACCAGTGGCTCCGTCGGTCGAATATTGCGTTCGTTCGCGCTACTGGTCGTGCTCTCGTGCCTCATTAGAGTCTGTTACCATCAACTCATCGCACTGTCATCACCCGACGCTTTTTACGCCTTCAACAGTAGTACCGCCGGCGCAGTTCGCTATCGCCCCTCTAGGCTCCCTCTCGAGAAACTGACCGACTCGTGCGTGACGGCCATAAACTCCCTCGCCCACTCCCCGCCCAACGGTGACGGCCCCGCGTTGACTCCGCCGCAGGAGCTCGCCGCAGCGGCGGCTTGCAGAGCGGAGCTGCGGAATGCGCCGCTGCAGCAATGGGCGGCGGAAGCGGGGTGGAGAGAGGCCGCCGACGTGGACTACCAGGTTGCGGTGCCGCCGGAGCTGCCGAGCCCGCGCGCTCAGCTCACATGGGAAGCTCTCAGCCCCGCTACTAGCCCTGCTACTAGCCGCCCTACCGCCGATAGCCCCAGTAGTACCACTAGTAACAGCGACAATGGCGGCACCAGTTCCGTTGACGAAACCCTGAACGCTTCTGCTGACTCTGTCAGCCCTGGCAGTTCCACTGCTGCCGCTCCTTCTCCTGCTGCTGCCGCTGGTGCGGCTGTTGGTGTTGCTGCTGCTGATGGGGGTGCTGCTGCTGGTGGTGGCGGGGTTGCTGGCGCCGCCCCAGAAGACTCCGCGGCGCTGCTGTGCTCCGAGGGGTGGCAGCGGGCGGCGATGGCGCGAGCAGTAACGAGCGCGTACGTGGGGAGGGCGGTGAAGCGGAACGTGACGTCGCTGGCGCGGATAGAAGCCGGCGTGGATGCTGTGTGTCGTGGGGTGCGCGAGATAGAGGCCCGGCTGAGCGGCGAGTGCGGCGACAAGAGGAATGGGGGCGGCGAGGGCAGGAGGACGGCAGCAGAAGAAGGAGCTGGAGAAGCAGGAGCAGGGGCAGGGGCAATAGGAGAAGCAGGATCAGGGGCCGGGGCAGGAGCAGGAGCAGAGGCAGTAGCAGGGCAAGCAGGAACAGGAGGGGAGGGAGCGGCAGCAGCAGAAGAGTGCGGCACGTGGCCTGAGGCGTGCTGGCCGGTGCCTCACAAGCCCTTCTCCGATGTCATGGTGCCCCCCTTTTCCTTCCCCATCCTCCTCCCTCTTTCCTCCCCCACCCACTCCTGCCCTCCTCCTCTCTTTCTTGTCTTAGCCGCCTTTTCTTTTTCTGCCCTCATGCCACGAGGACACGCAAGCTTCCCCACGTTGCCCACTCTAAGAAGAAGCTCTGTGTTCCTCCCTTCCCCTCCCCATTCACCTTTTCCATCGCACACGCCCTCCATTCCATCCTTCCTGGTGCACCAGGCCGCAGAAGTACTGCTAAGAATTCCATAATATCCCTCCTGCCCACCTGCTGAGAAGTACTGCTCACCTGCCCACCTGCTGACAAGTACTGCTCACCTGCCCCAGTTTCCACTCAAATCAACAGCTCTCAGTACTCCCTTTCGCCCCTATTGCCCCCTCCCCTCTTCTCCCCTCCCACTCCCTCCGTTCCACCACCCCAGGTCCACCAGGGCGCACGAGCACTAATGAGAAGTCTAATCCCTCCCTCACCAGCCCATTCCCCACTGCGTGCATTCCACCCCCCCCCCAGGCCACCAGGGGGCGCAGGTTCCTGGTGTTCGCCTACTCCTTGGAGCAGCTCTCCAACACGCGCTCTCATCTCGTGGAGGCCGCCCGCTTCGCCCAAGCCACCAACCGCACGCTCGTGCTTCCCAAGGTGACTCCCTTGCTTCCCAATGTGCCACTCCCTTGCTTCCCAATGTGCCACTCCCTTGCTTCCCAATGTGCCACTCCCTTGCTTCCCCATGTGCCACTCCCTTGCTTCCCAATGTGCCACTCCCTTGCTTCCCAATGTGCCACTCCCTTGCTTCCCCATGTGCCACTCCGTTGCTTCCCAATGTGCCACTCCCTTGCTTCCCAATGTGCCACTCCCTTGCTTCCCAATGTGCCACTCCCTTGCTTCCCAAGTGCCATTCTGCACATTCCTTGTCACCCTCTTTCCTGTCTTCTGCTTGTGTTTCCCGCCCTCTTCCCACCCTCTCTCACCCCTCTCCCCAAATCACGCTCATGGCAGGGCAGTCGCAGCCGCCTCTCACTCGCCCGTGACCTGCCCCTCTGCGACTACTTCGACCTCTCTCGCCTCGATGCCCACTGGATCTCGCCCGAATTCTTCCTGCACCTCGCTAGAGCCGCTGTCAACCCTCCCTTTGCTGCTGCTGCTGCTAAAGCCAGCCCTTCCGTGGCCTTTGTGCATCTGCAGACCTCCCAAGTATGGCGAATGACCTTCAATCAAGGCAAGTCGCAGAAGCCGAACACATGTTTCAACTTCCTTTTGCAGATGTAAGAAGCACTGAATGCCATCTAAATGTTTTCATTGAAGTTGCAATTCGTAGTCATTCTATTCTCACCCTCATTCATCAACTGTCTGATCCATAGCTACCCATAACATTCATTCTGAAAAAAAAAAATGAAAAAAAGAAGAAGAAGAAAAAAAGAACACTTTATTGTGCCTCGGTGTGCAGGGCCTCTGGCGGACATGCTGAGTGAGCTGATGGTGTATGGCATGGGCCATGCACCCTCGAGACGCAACACCGTTGATGTCACCACGCCAGTCAACAGCAATGTACTTTTCCAGCAGTTGCATCAGTGGTGCGTCATTCCATTCTCAGTGCCTTCTTTGTGCCCTCTTTCCAATATGAAGCATTATGAGTGCATGGCCCGCCCAAGCATCCAATAAGTCTGTCGTATTACAAAGGGGTTTATTTCTGTGTGTCTCATAGCAAGACTGCTTCTATCATGGGCGGAAACTCATTGTCTGTTGGAAGCTATACGCTTATGACTTAGAACTTCTTTCAGAGTCTCCTGTAAAGCAAGCCAAGCTGTAAATTCTTCCATACTGCACACCATCCCGCACACCATAGCATTGCACATCGTGTCACTGGTCCAGCACCCCCCTGTCAGAAAACGATTTGCCTTCCCTTCTGCCCACTTCTGCATTGGCTGTGCGTTTCATGGCTGCATGGCTGTAGGCGGAACAGGGACGTGCTGGTGTGGGTGAAGACCACATACGACCGAGTGGACTTCCACCTCCCCACAGACGACATCTCCTTCAAGATGCTTCCATACAGCCAGACATGGCACGCCATGGCACATCGAGCCATGGCCCGCCTGCCCTCCCGGTACATTGCGGTGCACTACCGCTCCGAGTTCATTGCCTTCAACCTGGTGAGTCCATCGCTTTCCACCTCGTGAACGTTTCTAACATGCCACGGTGCTTCTGAGCAGACCCGAAGTGACTCACAAGGCATCTAGGTCCGCATCACGCTGCTGCCCTAATCCCATCTCGCCCACCCTGCAGGCGCACAAGCTAGTGGTAAGAGGCTTCAAGGTGGAGGCGGGCGTGCTGGAGGGGCTGATGGCGGGGTGCATGGAGGCGGCGCGCGACCTGATCAACGGCATGAAGCGCCGCCACAACATCTCCGTCGTCTTCATCGCCGCCGACGTGCCGTTTGACGGCAAGGCAGGCAGTGTGGTGCGGTCGGACTCGTGGAACGAGACCACGTGGAGGTTCCAAGGGGCGGAGAGAGAGAGGGCGTTGCAGGCCCCGCGGGAGAAGCTGCGGTGGCTGAGGGAGCAGGTGGCGGGCACAGTGATGGTGGACGAGCTCATGCCCTCTGTCAACCGCTACGACCCCGGTCTGTGCACTTTGGTCTGGTGGGTGGGCTCTAGGGTGGCTGCTTGGGTGGCTGGCTGGCTGCTTGAGTGGCTGCCTGGGCTGCAACATTTGACTGCCTGAGATTTCCCTCGCTGTGCCATGCCATCTCAACCCTCACGCACCTCTTCTTCCTCTCTTGCCATCTACTCTCCCTTCCACCCTCTATGCCGCCTGCCTTTCTATGCTCTCCCATGCGCTCCCTTCCGTACAAGCAGGCATTGTTGCGATATTGGACAAGCTGCTGTGCGCGCATGCCCACGTGTTCCTGGCTGGATCCATCACATGTGGGGGAAGCCGCGGCTTTGAGCAGGACATTGCGCAACACAGGAGTCAATTTAACAAGACCCTCCCCCATAGATGGGTCTCACACACAGACAAGCTTCTGTGGCAGTCAAACGGCACCTCTGCAGGTGTAGGATAAGGAAATCCGGGTATTGTTGGCTTATAGCTCTTATAGGCTTATACACCCTAACATATGTACCACTGGTACTTCAGTTGTACCTGTCATCGCCCCGTATATGATAGTGTCGAATCTAAGGCAAATGTGTCTTCCATTGGCATGTGCTGATGCTGGCAGCAGGGCACGAGGCAAGGAGCGAGGGTGGTGTGGAGGAGTGGAGGCTTTTGCTAGAGAGGCATAGTGCCGGCATAGCGGAGGCCTTGATACAGGATAGAATAGCAAGAGAAACCTTGCAGCTGAAAGGATTCATGACAATGGAATGGATTATGCCTCCATACATCAGGGTATTTATCTAAGGGCGTATTCCTACGGCCTCCTATCAAGAAACCTCCTATCAAGATTGTACCTTTTGCCTGGTAAAAGTAGCGAGAGATTTTGGGTTTAGGGAATTTTCCAGTGAGAGCTTGATAGGAGGTTTTCTTGATAGGAGGATAGGAATACGCCCTAAGCAGCTACCCTGCCCACAGTCCATCCATCCACACCAGGGACGTCGACATCAGACCAAATTGGTCTGATGTGTCAAATGTTGTACCCTGTAGTGAGGTTTGTCTTAGGGGGTACAAATGTTAGGGTTTGCTATATTACCCCAACCCTCATCAATAACACAACACTTTCGTTCTTGACATGGTATCACCTAGGTTAGGATCCTGTGGGATCCCGCACCTCTCGTCCTCGTTCGTTCCGCCCGAGCCTGTCTTGCTCTCTCGTACTAGTCGTACCCGTCTTGCCCGAGCCTAGCGCCGGCCCGATCCAGTCTCGCTCGTTCCTTAGCGCTCGCTCCGCCGACCCGCTTTCCGCGTAGCGTAACGCCTTCCCCCCCTTGCCCGTCGCGTCGCGCTCTCCCCGGCTTCCCGTCCCGTCACGCCCTCCCCCGCTGCTCGTCGCGACGTGCCCTCCCACCCTGCCTGTCGCGTCGCGTCCTCCCCCCGCTGCCCTAAACGCCCGCTCGTCGTCGCCGCGGCGCCCCGTATTTCGTCGCCGCGGCGCCCCGTATTCCGTCGCCGCGGCGCCCCGCATTTCGTCGCCGCGGCGCCCTGCATTTCGTCGCCGCGGCGCCCCTCATTTAGCCGCCGCGGGCCCTGCTTTCCAGCCGCCGCGCCTGCTCGTTAAGGCCCGCCGCGGGCCTTCCCTTACAGCCGCCGCGGGCCCTCCCTTACAGCCGCCGTAGGCCCTCCTTCGCACCGCTGCGCCTACTCGTTCAGTCCGCCGCGGGACCGCCCCTAGCCCCGTTGCGCCCGCGTTTTGCGCACGTCACAAACTTGTCCTAGCCGCCTACCGTCCCTACCAGTGCCACCCACCGCCCGACTTGTCGCTTCTACTTACGCATTGGCGACCCCTAGGGTTCTTCGCTTCGACGCTGACGGTAGACCGCTCGAGTTTCCGGTCTGACTTCTATACGCGTGTCGCCTCTTAGAGAGTCAGGTTCAGGCGGGTGAGTCCCTTTGGGCGCACACTACTGGTGACTTTCCAGCGCCCGACGACCCTACGCCTTTAGGCACTGCCCCTGACGACGCAGCGAGGGACCGCTTCACCCGCCAGCGTGCTGACCTGACGGCGTGGAACTCGTGTGACGCTGCGGCCTGCATCGCTCTCAGCAGCCTCCTCCCTGAGTCTGAGGAGGCCCACTTCACTCAGGTTCGCACTACTAGGGAGTTCCTGACTGCGAATAAGGCCCGCTACGCTACTCCCACCACTGTCTCTCTTCGCCGACTCTTCCTACCATTCCTGTTCCCTGACCTCGCCTGGTTTGAGCACTCTGCTGACTTGATTTCTCACCTCCGCTCGCTTGATTCTAGCTACCGCGCTGCTTGCACTAAGGCACAGTGTGCACTACTCCCTCCCCCCATGGCGATTACTATCTATTTTATCGCCACTAGCCCCCCTGACCACCTTGCCTCAGTCCGTGACACGCTTCATCTGAAGCACCCTAGTGAGCTCACTATCGAGGTCCTTGAGTCTGTGCTCAAGGACATCGAGAGCAACCTCCGCTCCGTAGCCTCCGCCTCTGGTGCTGTGCCCCCTCCACTGTTCTACGGGTGCACTGTCCCTGAGCTGCCCACCTTTACAGCCTCTCTCGCCACTGCTGCTACTGACGTGACCGCAGCTGCTGTCACGACTTCTTCACGGTCTCGAGGTAGAGGTGGCAAGAGGGGCGGTCAGGGTACAGGTGGCGGCGGTGGTGGAGGCGTTGGCGGCGGAGGTGGTGGGGGTGGCGTGCCGACTGGTGGCGGCGGGAGTGCAGGGCCAGGAGAGGCGTCGCGTGCAGCGGCCGGTGACTCCGCTACTGCAGCTAGTGGAGGCGACGTCCGGGCTCGTCAGCCACCTTCTGGTCTGCCGGCAGCGGCGGGTGGAGCAGCGGCGTGGTACCTGGCCCAGGGGCAGCAGCAGCAGCAGCAGCAGCAGCAGCAACAGCCCCTCCCCTTGCAGCAGCCCCCGCAGCAGCAGCGGCAGCAGCAGGTTTCGAGGCCAGGACGGTGTCAGCCTCAGCGAGGTGTTGTTCACCCTTCGTGCACCTATCAGCTTTTGACAGGTGCTCACCGAGGCCAGCCTTGTGGCCGCACCCACCCTCCTGGTCAGTGCTTTGCTCAGCTCACTGACACAGTTCGCTTGGCCTTCAGCATTGGCGGCCCTGCCCCTGACTGGTTTCCTCTTGTTCAGACGTACGGCTCCGCTCTTTGGGGCATGTCAGCTTATCAGTTGGTTGATCTCTTAGGAACTCCTCATGCAATATATGCTGTTGTTGACTCTAGTGCTTCTGACTCTGTTTACTTGAGTGTTGTTAGCTTAGGTGCTAGTCTTGCTGAGTTGCCTGTTCCTAGTGTAGGCACTTGTGTAGACACTAGTCTAGGAGCTGCTTCGGAGGACGCTTCGCTGTCTTTCACTTTGGACCCTGGGGCTTCGCACTGCTTCTTCCAGGACCACACAACACTTACTCCGCTTCCGATGCCGGTCTCTGTGGCTCTGGCTGATCCCACCTCGGGACCAGGCACTGCTTGCTACACTACTACTCTTTCGTGCCCTGCTGTTCCCTCTGGGTCTCTGATTGGCTTCCACGTCCCCTCGTTCTCGCGGAACTTGGTGGGCATGAGGCCTCTTGTGAGTCAGCATGTGGGTGTGTGGATTGAGCCCTTTGGTGAGACGGCGGTTTGTGTTGACAGAGACACTTACAGCTGAGCCGGGCTTTGGTCTCTACACACTTCACCCTACCTCTAGTAAGCAGCAGCAGCAGCCGCAGCAGCAGCCGCAACAGCAGCAGCAGTAGCAGCAGCAGCAGCCGCAGCACTGCCCGTGGCCCCTGTTCCTTCCCCCAGTCTGGTCCCTGCATCTCACCAGGTTGCTGCGTCCCCCCAGGTAGCTGTGTCTGGTCAGGTTCCCGTGTCTTGTCCAGTTGCTGCGTCGCGCTCCTGCCGGTCACTTGCCCACCCCACCGTTCTGTGGCACCACCGGATATGGCACCCGTCTCCCCCTCATCTACGCACTAAGTCTCGTCAGCGTCTTGTCTTAGGCCTCCCACTTGTCTTACCGTCGTTGCCGCCTTCGCTTGCACCACCATGCGGTCCCTGCGTCGAGGGTAGGCTGCACGCCACCCCTCACTCCTCCCTTTGTCCGGCCACCGAGCCTTTTGAGACGCTCCACTTGGACGTCTGGGCCCCGCCTCTCGCCTTGGCCCTGAGCGTGAGCGTTTCTTTCAGGCCCCCGCTACACCACAGTGTTCCCCCCTTGTGAAGCAGTCTGAGGTGACTTCTACGCTGATCAGGTGGTTGCTTACAACTGAGGGCACTCGTGGTCGTCATGTCAGCTGTCTTCACTCCGATTGTGGGGGTGAGTTTCGCTCTGGCATTCTCGCTGGATTCTATCGCGAGCAAGGCATTCGTTAGTCCTGGACGCTTCCAGAGTCCCCACAGCAGAATGGGGTTGCCGAGCGCCGCATAGGCTTGGTCATGGAGATCGCCCGCACCTCCTTGACTCACGCCCGTGCCCCCCATTTTCTATGGCCCTACGCGGTTAGGTACGCCGCTCACCAGCTGAACCTCTAGCCACGTATGTCTCAGCTAGAGGTTTCACCGACTAGTCTTTGGACTGGGTCCCCTGGTATTGCGTCGCGGTTTCATGTCTGGGGTTGCTTGGCTCTTGTTCGCGACACCTCCGCGGACAAGATCTCGCCTCACGCCATTCCTTGTGTCTTCCTTGGTTTCCCAGAGGACTCCTCTGACTTCACCTTCAACCACCCTCCACTTCACTGGTTCTTTGACTCCCGGGACGTTAGTTTCAACGAGTCCGTCCCCTACTACGTCAGGTACCCCTGCCGAGGTCTCCCGGTTTCTCCTCCCCCTCTCTTCCTAACTTTCGCTCCCCCTCCTGCTCCCCCGGTACAGCCTCCCCCCCCTGGTCCAGGCCCGTCAGGTGTGTTCCACGCTACCCCTCTCCCCTCGGTAGCCCCTCAGGTACAGCCTCCTTCCCCACAGTCCTCCTCGCAACCTGCGGCAGACCCTGCGGGAGCCGGTGTTTGTGGCGAGGACCCTGTCGGTGTTAGCTCTAGGGGTGCTGGAGTTGGGGATGAGCGCGAGGTTGCAGGAGACTCTCGTCTTCCGGAACCTGGTGTAGGTGGTGCTGACTCTGGGGGTACTACGTCTGGGGGTGCGGGTGCGCCCCCTTTGGGTCCTTGTGAGCCTGGCTGTGTTGCTGTTGGTGGTACTGCCTCTAGGGGTGGTGCGCCGGGTGCTTTGGAGGGTGGTCCTGGGGCTGCCACGGCCCCAGATGCTACTCCTCCCCCCCACCCCTACCCGACCCGGCACCAGGCTCGTATTTGCCGCGCTCGTGAGGAGCAGCTAGAGTTAGAGAGAGAGGAGAGAGAGTTGCAGCGGCTGGAGGTGGAGTAGCGACAGCAGCAGCGGCTGGAGCAGCAGCAGCAACAACAACAACAGTAGTAGCCGCGAGAGCAGCAGCAGCAGTCGCAGCTG